TATATATATATATATATATATATATATATATATATAAACAATAGTGTTTCCCTAAAATGAATAGTAGTTTAGGTCATTTTCCCAGCCATCCTATCTTGATCGGATGGTTGAAAAATACTAGTTGCTACTTGAATGTTAATTTTTTTTTTTTTTTTACAAATTGAATGAGAATGAAATTTTGTATACATATCCTACATAATAGGGTGCACAAGAAAAAATATAAAATACATATTCTTAGAAATTTAAAATAACCAAGAAAAAAATAAAAAAAATATTCTTAAAATTCTACAATAACCAAATTACCTCAAAAGATGATGGGGGATAATTTGGTTATTTTTAATTTTAAAAATATTTCTTTTATATTTTTATATTGTACTGATGGCCTCAAGTACATACACCTCAAATTTCAGATTGACCTGATTAATAGAAAAAATAAAATAAAATAAAATTCATACAATATATGCATTTTCAACCATTTAAACAAGATCTAATGGTTTGGAGCATGACTTAAACTACTATCATATTAGATCAAGATCCATTGTTTTATATATATGTATATATATTAAGGGTGTGGTTTCTATAAGGTTGCAACCTTAAACAATCCAATTAAGGTGCACCTCCAAATTTGATCATAATATGTAATTTTGATGTAAAAAATTCTTAGGATTATCTTAAAATCTATTTTAATCTCTAATTATAAAATTTGAGACTCCAAAAATGGATAAAATCAAGTAGATCTATAAACATATGAAAATATTGAAATGAACAGTCTAGATAATGTGTTACAAGATGCACTATTTATGTGACTCGAAATCTTTTTTTTTTCATATTCCTACATTCTCAATGTCGAGATGATCAATTAAAGGTTTTTTCAACATTAAACAACCTTTTCCGATGGGTTTTTGAGGTGCCTCTGTAATTCTACATTTTAAGGTTTCAACCTTATATAAACTTTTACCATATATAAAAGATCTTGCTGCCTACATAATAATATAAGTTGAACCGCCTGTATTGAAACTCATATGTACATACATACATACCTGTATACGCAAACATATTTATATAAAGGCACTTTCTTAGAATTTCTTTGTTATCCTTTTTTTCATTAGTATTAGTTGATAACCCACTACTTGGAATTCTTTCTCTAACAAATTTATATGAATGCAGTTCATATCTGAACCAGGAATTGGGCATGAGATGACGCCCTTGATGGTGAAAGAAGCAAGCAATTGGTTTGACAAGTTTCTCAACTGACATACCTCAACACCCAAAAGCATCAACTTTGCATTTATTTATATAAATAAAGTTTATATAAATACAGATATAATGACTTGCACCATATATGGTGGAGGGCTTTGAAAAAGCAATGTAGAACCTTATAAACACAAACTACAATATATAGGGAGTTACCTGATATTTATGTGTGATCAATGTGTCACTAAATCCGAGTACTGACATGATTTATGCTATTGTAAAATTATACGGCATATAAATTTCAGGGATATTTACAAAAAAATCCCATTTTATTTTTGGAATTTAAAAATCGTTCTCTATATTTTATATTTTTGGAATTTAAAAATCGTTCTCTATATTTTATATTTTTGGAATTTAAAAATCGTTCTCTATATTTTATATTTTACAGGGAGCTCTCTGCTTGATATGTACTCTAAATTGGATCTTTTGAATAATGCATTTTTAGTGTTTAAGAACTTGTTTCATAGAGATAGTGTTTCTTGGAACTCCATGATTGCTGGTTGTGCAAAAAATGGAGATTATATGGAAGCTTTAGGCTCGTTTACAAAATGCAAATTGAAGGTATAAAACCCAATGATTTTACCTTTTCTGGTTTGCTGAAGTCATGTAAGAGTGAGAAAGAAGTTGAGCAAATCCATAGCTCTATATTAAAGTGTAGAGTAGAGAGAGATAATGTTTTAGGCAGTGTTCTTGTAGATGCTTATACGAAGTGTGGAAGCCTGGGCTCTGGTCGAAAAATTCTGGACTCCATGGCTAGAAAAGACAGGTTTGCTTGAAGCTCTGCAATTTCAGGATATGCAAAATCTGGTGAGGGAGAAGAAGCTCTGGTTTTGTTTAGAGAGATGTGTAGGGAAGCCATGAAACCTGATCAGCATGCTTTGTCCAGTGCCCTCAAGGCTTGTGCAGAGACAAGTGGGTTATTGGAACAAGGGAAACAGCTCCATGGCCAAGTGGTGAAAATGGGGTATCAGAGAGAGAATTTCATGGCAAGTGTTCTTCTCTCTCTTTATGCAAATTCCAGCCTTTTGAGTGATTCTGAGAAGGTTTTCAGGGGTTTCAGGGGAATTAAAGAGAGAGACAGGGTGTCCTGGATTTCTATGATGATGGTTTTTGCAGAGAGAAAAGAAACAGCTTTGGGAACCATAAATCTCTACTGCAAATTCCAGCAAATGGGCTTTTCTCCTGATGTTTTCACCTTCATTGCTGTTCTAAAAGCCTGCTCGAATATGTCAGATTCGAGCATGGGCTTTCAAATACACACTCACATAATAAAATCCAATTGGGGCTCTGACATATCAATTGGAAATGCTGTTATCGAGATGTACGCAAATTGTGCCTCCGTTGATGAAGCTCGAAGAGCTTTCGATAACATGAGTTGCTGAGATGAGATTTCATGGAGCTCAATCATAGCAAGCTATGCTCAGGAAGACGATGGATTTGAAGCACTTCTCCTATGCAAGCAAATGCAAATTGAAGGATTTAGGCTAACTGAATTTAGCTTGGCCCCTTGTTTAATGGCCTGTGCAATCTTAGCGGCAATGGAACTAGGCCGACAACTCCATGTGACCATTACCAAGTCTGGTTTTTCTTCACAGGTCTATGTTGGGCGCACAATTTTGGACATGTATGCAAAATGTGCAAGCATTGAGGACTCGATAATGGCTTTCCATGAGGTTCGGGCTCCCAATATAGTGACTTTCAATGCTCTAATTTCAGGTTATGCGCAAAATGGAAGAGCTCAAGAAGCCATTAATGTCTGCAATGAGTTACCCAAATTAGGTATTGCCCCAAACAATGTTACCTTCATTGGGGTCCTAAGTGCCTGTAGCCATGTAGGTTTAGTGAGAGCGAGCTTATATTACTTCAATTCCATGTCATTAGACTATGGAATCTCACCTGAATTTCAGCACTGTTCTTGCTTAGTTGATGCTCTTGGAAGGGCTGGAGAGCTAGAAAAAGCTCATGAAATTGTCACCAAAATCCCTTTTCCAGAGGCGATTCCGGCATATCGAACATTGTTGGCGGCTTGCCGGAATTTTGGGGAGTTAGAGATTGGCCAAAAAATTGCAAAGAAGGTGCTTGAATGGGACCCACACGACCATTCACCTTTAAATCTAATCAGCAGCATATTTTAAATATATGTAATTTTGTTACATATATTTTTCACCTTTAAATAGTATCGGAATATGTCGATAAATTCATAAAACGTTGAAACAAGGGAAATGATTAGAAATATACTTTAATTTTTAAAAAATTAGAAGAAAAAAAAAAAACCTCAATTTTCATAATTCTCGTTCACACTCTTTTTCCTTAGTTTTGACATTTAAAATACTTCGAAATATGCTGTATAAAATGGGGTAGACAGTAATTAAAGTTCCATAATTCTAAGGCTTCACAATAATACAACTACAGCGGAAGTTATTTTGATAAAAAAAATGCCAAAAAAAAATGTGGATGAGGTTATTAGAAAAAAGGGTGTAGATGGTGTGCCCCCTTAAATATATTATCAATCCAAACTAATATATTTAAAATGCGTCCAATTGGCCAAGCTTATCAAAAAATTATAATAGGGTGTGGTTTGTGTAGGGTTGAGGCTCAAAACAATCAAAGCAAGACGCACCTTTAAATAGTGTCGGAATATGTTTTTCGGTATTGAAAATCTTTGTGATGGTTTGAAACTTTATTTTCATAGCTACTAATAAAAATTCAAAACTTCAAAAATAGTGTAGATCAAATAGATCTATGAACACTAGAAAATTTTTTAAAATAGACAGTCTAGAAATACATTACAAGATGGACTATGTCCAAGACTCCATTGTGTCTCATGTTCATACATCTTGAGATCGAGATAAACAATTTGAGGATTTTTGGGCTTTAAAATAACCGTTTCTAGTGACTTCTTGAGGTGCACCTTAATTTAATTGTTTAGGGTCTCGTCCTTATATAAACTTTTTCTATTATAATATGTGTTAAAATAAAACTTCACAATTTTTTTCTAAAAAAAACCTCAAGCCTTTGTGGCGAAAAAACATAAAATTGGAATAAATAATAGTAATCTTGACACTTATGTGTGAGCAAAATGATAAGCACAGTTCAATGTTACCATGGGACAACAAATATGATTATAAATTTTGAATCTCTCTGGGACTCCTATTTCATTATTTAAAACGTCTCATTGATAAATAAATGTAGAATATCTGGATCACCTCTATCATCAAATTTTATTCTCAATTTTTAATGATATTCATTAAAATTTCTCTCTCTCTCTCTCTTGTGATTTAGATCATAATCATCTAATCCGGCTCTTTTGTGATTTAGATCATAATCATATTGAAAAGCAGTGCTTATCACTCTGGTTCCTATAGAACCAGCCAGTTCTGTAAATGTTTTTTTTTTCTATTTTTTTTTGTCAATTTTTATATTTTACTTATTCTCACTGAGGAGAATTGGTTAGATCATTGATCCAGATCAACGATTCGTTGATCAAAATGGGTTTTTGGAAGCCAGTTCAGCCAACTGATATGGGTTTAAAATAAGGGTGTGCTTTTTATAGAGCCTAAGCTCTAAACAATCAATTAGAGCCTACGTTCAAATAGTATCTAGAAATGTGGTTTCAATATAGAAAATATTTGTAATAGCCTTAAATTTTATTTTCATCTTTATTTATAAAGTTTAAAACTTACAAAACAGTGCAGATCGATAGATCTATGAAAACTTGAAAATCTTGAAAATTGATGGTCCAAAAATACGTTACAAATACACTATTTTCAAAACTTGAAATCCATTTTTTTCTCATGTCCATGAATCTCTATATCAAGATGATCAATTTGAAGATATTTGAGCATCAAAATAACCTCTTCTAATTAAATTTTTTAGGCAGGTTAAAATTTGATTGTTTAAAACCTCGGCTCTATATAAACTTGTCCCTTAAAATAATACTCTCTAAGTAATTCTTGATTCTTTCTCAAAAGTCTAGGGAAAGTTGGACACACATCTCATGCCTTTCATTAGGTTTAAAATCTCTTAATTCAAAATTGCATTAATTATTTTAATACAAATAAATCATAATTTAAATTGTTAAATAATTTATGGTAATCATGTTTTGTTAAGTAAATTTGAACAATCAATTGTTTTATCATGGCGTAAATTAGTTAAGAATAAATTAAAATTTGTAATTAAAAATATGATAAATAGGATATAGCTAGACTCGAGTGATGAAATTACAAATCTCTTGTTTTGAATTGGTTGATAAATAGGACAATTCTCAAGAATAATTGAAGAATACAATCCTTATATTGTTTAGTTAAAAATAAAATAGAAAAACAAAAGTTATAGTAATTTTTAAAATTAGAACCTCTTACAAGATACACAAGTTCATCCCCAATCAGAACTGACCGGTCTAGTCCAAAATGAAGGGTTTAATAAACAAAAACCAATGTTTGAACGATTTTAGTTGGTCAGATCTGCTTGTTTTTATTGATTCCAACTACCTGAATAAAGTTGGCAATTTTTAATATATTTTATATTTAAAAAAATTTATATTTTTAAACTATTTTTTTTAGAAAAAAATGGACTTTAAGTTTTGGAAAGGGTGTATCTTGGTACGCATTTTTAGGCCATCAATTTTCAAGTTTTCATAGATCTGCTCAATCTACAGTTTTTTGAAGCTTAAATTTTACAATTAAAAATAAAAATATATTTTAAGGCTATCACAAAGATTTCCAGTATTGAAACCACAAATCTCGACAATATTTGAAGGTGTGTTTTACTTTGAGCCCTCGGCTCCATACAAACTGCACCCTTTTAATATTTTTTTCGATTTTGATGGATTAAAATAAGTTTTTTTTTTTTTAAAAAAAATCTGGAAAATGTCATTGAAAAATCTGGAAAATACGCAAGCCTCAAAACTACACTAAAAAAAACAAGGCGCACATAAAGAAATTCATTAAAAAAAAGAAGTCATTTTGATGTTTAAAAACCCTCTATTTGGTCGTCTTCATCTGGATATATAAGAAAAAGGAGAATCTCAAATCCTAAAACTTGTAATTTTGTAATATATTATCTAGACTGTCCATTTTCAATATTTTTATGCGTTTAAAGATTTGTTCAATGAGCATATTTTTTAATTTTAAAGTTTATAATAGTTAGGTATAAAATTAGATTTTTAAGCCCTTGTA